CTTGGGGCTGTCAGGCACTGGAAGGGGCTGCCCAGGGAAGGGGTCGAGTCCCCAGCCCTGGGGGGATTTAACAGCCGGGCAGAGGTGGTGCTGAGGCCAGGGTTTGGGGGTGGGATGGCAGGGGTAGGGGGACAGTTGGGCTTGGTGATCTTAAAGGGCTTTCTGAACCTAAATGATTCCATGATTCTAGATCAGCCCAGGCTTTGGGGTGCCATGCCGAAGTACGTTGTCCACTTGGGTATGGTGCTTTGGGGAGGTTATGGGCTGGTGGTGGAGTCTAGGAGATGGTCAGATGTAGGAAGTTGCAAAAAAAAAAAAAAACCAACCAAAAAAACCAAACCCAAACAAACCACCCACTTGGATAATTAAAACGGTAAATCTAGCTAACTTTTCATTATCTTGCTTGCTGTGTGCTTATATATGTAGATATTTATGGCTTATCTGGCTTCGTTTCGTCATCCTTTGGTTTTCGTTAATTAGCTTCTCTTGTGCTGCTGGAGAACTTGAAATACTGGGGTTTCGAACAGAGCAGGACTCTGCTTCTGCTTTATCCTAAAGTTGGACTGAGGAATTAAAAACCTTCCTAGTTCATAGCAGCCTTGCAAATATGTTTACTTGTTTTATTAACCTGAACGCGGATGATACTTCATGTGGCAGCATCCCTTTAAGTCTGCTTTTCCTTAGTTTAAATTTTGCCGATGCTCTCTAATACGGCACGGATGTGTGTAGGCTACACACATGCGATCCGGTATGCTGATTGATTTTGTATGCTGGCATTCGCATCTGAAAATCCGAGCAGGCTTTGGATTGCTTTAGTTGATGATGTTAACAAGTGAACTGTCTTCTGTTTTCATCCTAATTCAACTTGTGGATCCTGCCAACACAAGGTCACCCAAACCAAATCAAGTGGTATTTCTCAGCCTTGTAATTATTTAGTTTCCATTTATGTGATAGAACATACTACGTTTTGTACAGTTTGCACAATTTGTATACCTTCTTAATCTGGTAGGCTTTTGCTTGAGAGGTTGTTATTTTTATATAGTCACCGTATTAGTTGGATGCTTTATGAGACAGGGCAACCCCAGGCTTTCTGCACATTATGAAAAAAACAATTTTAGGAGATTATATTGGCTTTGCCTTGTTAGATATTATAATTTCATAGATAATTATGTTTCTACTATTAGCTATTCTTCTTCTTGCAGTGTTAACTCAGCAGATATTTACCCGAGGAAAATAAAAATGACAGTTCAGTTAAAAAAAAGAAAAATCAGTGTATACATGGAGAAGAGACTGCCTTATTCTCATAGGGGAAGAGAGGATGAGAGTATCAGTTGCATAGTTGGTAAAAATGACTGGCCTGAACTTTGCCGTAAAATACAAGCTAAACTTCCAAGTTTAACTCAGGAAAAACTTAGTGTAGGCTCTGCAGCTCTTCACTGATTTTGTTTCTTTCTGTTCTGAGAAGCCATTCATGTATTGCACTACCTACCCCTGCATGCATGTGCATATACACCTGCAGAGGGGCGCATGCCAGCCCGAGAGTGGCCAAGCACAGGACTTGGGATTCCAGGTGTTAAGCCACAGAGGACTACAAACAGTGGTGGGGAAAGGAAGAAGGAGAGATTTGCAATGTTTACTTTTGGGCACGTATTTTAGGGACCTTAGCTTGGAGACTGGTCTCAGCAGTAGAAGAAAGACAGGACCCCGTGTGCCCTTCAAAGCGCCTGGCAGATGCTTCTGCTCCAAATTGCTGCTTGCTGTGATTACGTCTCTATTTGAATTCATCTTCCAAAAACTTGTGTTCATCCACCATTTATCTTGTTAGTGTTGAAAATGGGACAGAATATGCATTTGTTGGATATTTCTAGTCTGCTAAATATTAAGATCTGTTGACCCAAGAGACAAATACTTTGCTTAGGGGCTAAAAATCATCTCTGGTCACAAACATGAGAACTGCTGTGTGCTGACGCTGCGCACAAACTTTCAACAGTGTTAAGGTAAATGGAAATATGTGAGGAGGGGACTTTGTTTCTCCTACGCGTAGGACATGAGTGGTTACGGGACTGGGCAGCAGCGCTGCTCAAAGCATTGGTAACTCCGGGGAACGTGGCTGGCTGAACACTGCAAAAGGTGCAGCAGGGACCTTTGCATCAGCTTGGGTTTTGAGGTACTGTAAGCACACTACTCTCGGTACCTCTGCCTCCTCACAGTTACCATTCACAGGCACGACAGTGCCTTCCCTCCTCGGTGTGATTTCTGCCAAGGCTGTCATAAGTATTTGAAAGTTTCTTCATTTTGATTGTGGAGACTGAAGCGCTCAGAGTGTCAAAGGAGGAAAAAAAGGTAATCAGCTTCAAGCCATTGTGAAATGTTAATACAATAAGTAAAACAGACTTTTTGGTAAGTCAGAAATTCTGCTTTCTTAAGAAGAGATTAATCAAGCCTCTGTTGTTTGTATTTTTCCCAGAAGTTATGAGGTCTACAGCTCTCACTGCCTTCGGTGAAACCTGCACATAAGCAAGCTTCTTTGCTTATTTCCTTGCAGAATTCCGCATCCTTTCTTCCTTCCTTCCCCCCTGCGAGCTCCAAATTATCTGGTTTTTTCATCCAGGCAGTAAATGAAAGGGCTAACAGAACACACTCAGGCAGGAGGCACTCACTGCTGCTAGAATCTGACTTTCCAAGACTAAGATTCCTCTCGAGCTGGGCTTACAGATGAAAAGGGCTCGCGCTGCACATGACATCTCTCAGGTGCTCATGGCATTTTGTGCCAACTCCACATCTGAGGATGACATACCACTATTTTAGTGTTTAAGAGGACAGAAGTGACTAAAATTCAGATTTTTTTATAACTTACTGATGCCCGTCTGTTAGAAGTTACAACTGAAGTTATTGCCCCTGATATTCTTTCAGTTATTAACTGGAAAAAGCCTTGTGTACTTCCAGATTCAGTGTCTTGCCTCTAGCGTTAGGCCTTCACCCAGAAAAGGAGCAAAAAATATGCATAGCTTTAAAATGAAAGAGAAATTTAAGACAGCTTTAGTACTTGAAATCAGTTTTTATACCTTTGTCTCTTAAATGACTAATCTCCACCTGTGGGTGTCCATTTAACCTGCGAGATAACTTTAGAAACTGCTGGAGGCAATTTGTACTATAGGATCTTAAGTGATTAGCATTTGGTACACAGTATAATGCATGCTCAGTATTTGATGGGTTGTATCTCTTGGCTTCAGCTGCTTTTTTTTCCCTTTTTTTTTAATGTTACATTCTTGCCTGCAGGGTTTCTCTGCAATTTATGATCACAAACAAAGGTTACAGACTCTCTAATTCAAGCTTCAACTGTTATGGCATTTTTATACAAATGCTCATTTACTTTGTCTAGCATTTAGCAAGAAGGATCAGTCAACGTGATCCATTATTTTGCAACTATTGTGTGAAGAAGTGAGTCTCTCAGAAATGTGTCCCCTGGTTATATTTTTTTGCAAACTAATTATATATATATATCAGACATAATGCTGCCCTCTACTACTGCATTACGTTTCCCATTGTAATAAAGTTGGAGGAGTTTCAATGCAGGAACAAAACAAAGTATTTTTTCATTTGACATTTGATGTCCATGGTGGGAAGGTTGCACACGGCAGCTGTCCCTGGCAGACAAGCAAGTCCTTCAGTATACACCCTTCATGTTGTAATTAAGACCAGGGCACACTTCAGAAAGTGCCGGGCATGTGTATTTTATATATATATTTAATTTCTAGTGTTACTTTCAGGATGGTTCATCTTACCAACTAGTGATGGAGGGAGAGAAGGGAATCGGTGGTCACTTCCTTCACACTCTCTTTGTGTCCTCACTTCTCCTCCAGTTCCTGGAGGAAGAAAAGCACATGGGATTACATTAAACTGTCTAGACCTAGGCATCCTAAGAATTGACTAAACACTTCTGAGCTCCCCTTGCCTATAGTAGGGGTGTAGCACATTGTAATTTGGGAGGCTTACTTGGAAATGGAAGAGTTACGAAACTGGGTTTGACTCTTAGAGCTGTGCATCTCTGTGTACGCAGTTGCAGGTTTTCTGCAGGGGAGGGGCAGAGAGCATGAGACTAAAGGCTGGAGAACTAGTTTTAAATAGCAAACATGCCTTGTTCTACCAGGAAGCATCAGCAGCTCAGCACCACAAAAAGCCCAATCTAAGGATTCCCACATCACTGGCTTCATGAAAAAATGAGAGTTTTTCTCTAAAGCACTAGTTGTGGTAGTGCCTTTTGAAAAACTGCATCAGCATACAAGCAAGTCATCTTGTTTAATATGTTTAAGCATTGTTTCTTCTTGTCAAAATGCAAGCCGAATTTTGTAAGTTTTGGTTTGAGTGGCAAGCAGCCCCAAATTGAAGATAAGGATTATGAAAGCTAAAAAATGGCCACCTAAACTCATTTTTCTTAAGTTATTTTTCCCTAGACAAGGTCTGTCATCATCTTGGGCCTAATTCATTGTATTTTGTAAGAAACCATTACTCCACTATGTTAAATGGCAGCGTTACTTCTTCAGGCTTTTACTGATCTGGGTTTTTTGTTGACGGTGGAAAATAGAAAGGTTCGATGGTGGTAAAAACATCCAAAAAAGAATCAGCAAGTCAGCTGGTCCACCTGCAAACACTGCAGTTATGCCTTAGGTGCTAAACAGTTAAAAAGTCATTCTCTGCCACAGGGAATATTGGATTTCATAGACAGCTTATTAGCAGGACTGTCGCTATGAGGTGCAAATGAGGCTAAGGTGATCTAGCTACCTGCTCGTCTATATAAATGTGTGTGTGCTTATATGCATATGTATACAAACACACACACCAATTTCTTGGAGGCCAGATATAAAACCTATATGAACGAACAAAAAGTTTCAATGAATTATGAAGGAACATTGTGACCTGCTGGAGACAGGGGAAAGGAGAGAAGAAACGAAAACAAAGGGAGTCAGTGAAAGGTCGGGGCCATTATGTAAATTTTGGACAGAGTAGGTCAGAAGGACTGGAACTGGCGTCCCTATCCCAGAAAAGCTACTGCTTGCGCAGTAGTGAGAGGTGATTAGAATTTGATGGATGTTTTATGATAACGCAAAACCAGGAATCCCTCCAAAGGGTACTTTGTACCTATTGAAGTGTGGTTGCATTTGGCAGCTTCTCCTGACTCGAGGAGAACTTCAGAACTCTGCTGCTATAAGTCACAATCAAAAATATGACAATTTTAGAAACTTTATACCTTCAAAATAGAATTTATGAGTGTTTAATTACTATACCTGTAAGTCATGTCTGCAATAACAATTATGGGCAAACAGACAACAGTCAGATCCCTCTTCCCCCTTTCTCACAGCAGCAGGCATAAAA